CAGCCCTATTATTATCCCCACTACAGAGAGGAATAAACTACGGTTCAGAGATGTTAAGTAACTTCAACACACAGCTGGGAAGTGGTGCAGTTGGGCTTTGAATGCAAGCAGTCTGACTGCAACTCTCTTATGTGCGAGTCACTCTGATATACTTTGGGGATGCATCAAAAATACACTAAAACTCCTGGACTGTATACCATAAAAGGGTGAATTTTTGTGCTATATAAATTACATCTCAATTTAAAAAAATCTGAATGAACAAAAATTTTGGTTGTGATATATGTTGACCACAACCCTAAGAATTCAGCTGACCTGTTTCTCCTCGTATAAACCAGCTTTTAAAAAAAATCAAAATATCTCTTTAAAAAGATGAATGAAATGTTTCAGATGTCTTTATAGTCCCACAAAGCTAGTTCCAAGCTTCAATTCTGCCATTTGGCCATGGAAAACAGAGTTCTGGTTTTCTCTCCTATAAAGTGGGGACAGTGAACCTGGCCCTGCCAGGCAGTTGTGGCGATTTGAAGGAAAGGCTGCATCTGGCGGCAAGCTGGCCTTGGTAAAGCACAGCCGAGCGTGCTGAATTTCATAAGGGCAGGGGCTCGGGGCATTCACATGGCACCACCACCAGGAATGTTCTGGGAGTGCCCAAGGCTGTTGAGACCTGTGCTCGCTGGAATCCAAGCCCACCTGAGTCTTCTCATCCTCACTGCAGAGTCCCCCCTCACCCTCCACACTCCCGCTGGGGTTTCTGTCTAAGACTCTACAAGGAGGACGGGTGCCTTTCCTCTTCCCTACTCCTTCTCTGGGCTGCCAGGGGCTGGGATTCCTGAGCCAGGTCAGTGAGTAAGCTGTGATGGGGCCTTTCCAACCCCCTGCCCCTGGCACCTAGGCTCTGGCTCACACCCAACACTGTCCTCATAGGCAGCTCTGTGCCCACAGGGGCCATGTTGCTATGGTGATTCCACTACCCACACAGTGTCCAGGGAGACAGCACAGTGTAGCTGGAGCTATTTGCAAGACTTGCTGAAACCAGGCTGGGAAGATTCCGGAAAGGGTCAGAAGGAGTGGGGGATGGGAACTAAGTGAAACTGTTTCCCCAGCAGTAGCTGTGTGTGTGTGTGTGTGTGTGTGTGTGTGTGTGTGTGCGCGCACGCGCACGTGCTCACACATCAGCCACCCCCTGTCCAAGTTATAATGGCCCTTCCGAGCAGAAGCACAGCCCCTAGAGAGGCATCGACTTGTGACTGTCATAGGTTTCTTCCTGAGGTGATGTTCATGGTTTATCTTTGTGTTTAGTTTCTATGCTGAACTCTAAAAAAAGAAAAAGAGTGACATTCATATGGCAGCAGAAGGGACTGAACTGTGACTTACACTGCTCCACATCTGAAGCTGGCACCATGGTCCACCTTGCCCTTTGTCCTACAAGATTTCCCACAGAGCACGGGGGGCGGGGGGGGTGGGCGGGGAGGCTCCAGGAAATTGTACTGTGATGGGGAGAAAGATGCCTACCCCCTTTTTCCCCCTCCCCATTCCTGCTTCCACAGTCACCCCATGTTCTAGGCAGCTTGTCTAAAGCAGCTAATTTAGCCCACACACCGATCCTGTGCTTGTTACACTCATTTTACAGATGACAACACCGAGGCACGGAGATGCTATGTCACTTGCCACGGTTGGAGCTAATAAGTGTAGGAGGTGGGAGTGAAACCTGGGCTGTTGTTTGAAATCTGTGTTCACTGCTTCTATCTCCTTCTCCCCCTCGATGGGAGTTCACTGGAGCAGCCACTTAGGCCTGGAGAGAACAGAGACCAAGAGAGCAAGTGAAATAAGGGAGCCAACCCCTGGACTAGCATGTGGAGCACAACCCAAATTGCACCTGTTGGGTCCTGATGTTTGGGCTCCAGACTCAAGAGCTTTCCGTTCCCCTTCCTGAGCAATATTGGAATTATTAAAGAAAGGACCCATGCACACATCTGTGCTGACCCAATTCAATCCAGAGTCATTAATCGATGTCTTTTCCCACAGTCATGAACGTGGCTCCCCTCTGCAGAGCCACCGAAACAGCCCTGACTGCAGATAAATGAATCCTCAGGGGTGGTGAGAACTGGGCCCTGCGTCCTCCCAGAGCCCTCGTGTGCGGAGCTAATGCTGATTTGTGAAGCACTTTATGGTTTATTCATACCGCTTTGCCAGGCTTCCCAGGACAACCTTCCCTCGCATAAATGAGAGCGACTCCCAGAATAGAATGTCAGGCTTCATTAAAAGAAAAAACCCGGTGTGGGGGATGTCCCTTTTTTGCTCCCTAGCCTGCGTCACCCAGTGTTTGAGGGATTTGGGTCACACCCCGGGAAGCACCTGTGCTGTGAGCAGAAAGGGATGTCAGGAGCTCCTTTCTAGGTGGGAGAGACTCTCAGAAGGTTGGGCTCAAGTCTCTCTGCAGGAAACACGCCCAGGCCAGGGAATGTGTTCCCAGGAGGCAGGGAGTAAGTGGTGGGGAGCCAGACACAGGGTAGAGCTCTGATGCCCTTATTCTTGGCTGGGAGACTGAGGTGGGTCATAGAGGGGTCAGAGCACTGTGTAAATTAGAAGTCATTTATCTGCCCCTGGTAGTACTTCCATTATGGTCCCCTCAAGCTTGGGGAGGGTGTCCCCGAGAACAGAGGGAAGAGGAAAGCCTTGTTCTCCTCACTTAGCTTCTTTAGGGTGCCTCAGGAGCAGCGCCTTGATCAAGCCTCACCAGTGCCCAGGAAAGCTGCCCATAGACACACATGGCACCCAGGAAATTGCAAGGTACCCCAGGGCACAAAAATCACACTGATGCAGAAATGTAGGAGACTTCATGGGCTTCACACCTTCCCCAAAACGAGCAAGACTCCCACGTACTGAAGTCACCATCCTTGGCCACAGGGTCATACTCTTGAGGGAAAAATCACAAGGACTTCTGAGCAGCTCAGCTTCTTCAGAAACTGATGCCAGGCAGATGGGGGACTTGTGACTCCTGAATTCATCTTCTTTACCCCCAGAAAGGTAGAATAAAGCAGAGGGGGGTGTGCTGGGCTTGGAATAACAAACTCAGAATAGGAAGCTTGAACTGAGTGAGCCCTGCAGGACTTGGGGTTTGACTGCCCTCCAGGTCCACCCAGAGAGGGTGGATGCCTGAGTACCCGACTGACTCACCACCCATCTGGGGTATCAGGGACATGATCACCCACTTCTCAAATGGAATCTTTCGAACAAGGTAAGCATGTAGGAAAGGTTCTCAATTGCTAAACAATTCATACTGATGTTCCTGGGCAACATTAATAATTTCTTGACTACGTGTAAGAGTCAGTCCAATCTAAAAATCTGCAGAAATCAGGGGAGCATCATCCCGTACAACGTAAGATCCAATGGGCTTCCTTCTTTTCCACCTGCTGTCTCAGAGCACAGAGATCCGATGCAGCCCAGAAAGTCCAAGGTGGTGGTGATGACCTGCAGCAAGTATGAGGGGTTCTCTGCTTGCTTTGCCCTCCCTGCCAACTTTCAATCCATCGCTGTCAGTAGTGGGCGATACTGAGATTTTAGAGCAGCAGGTCCAAGCTAAGAGCCTGCTTCCCAAAATGGGGCCTACATTGCTCCCAACAAAAGAGTTGCTTTTGGATTTATTTCATCATCACCAATCCTTTGACCATCCCTTCTAGCTCTGATCTTCCAGGCAGAGAATTAGATGCAATTGGGACAACAGAGAGAGACCCAAATGGCTAACCCAGTTTTTGAGAGATCACAGTGGGCAAAGTCCAGAAATAAATCTCAACTGGTCATCCTCATCTTAAAAAGTAAGTTGATGATACTTTCCACCAAGAGTTAGTGCTACACAACTGCCAACTGCTAATGAATTATTCTTAAATTAATAATAACACCAACAACTGAGCAACAACAATTCAAAACATGTTAATTAATTTTCAAAATATTATTTCTAAAATATAGTAAATAAGTTACATTGTTTGGGCTCCATTAAATATATGCATTTTCATTGGGATGGTATAGTTCCCAAGGGGAGCAACAGTGGGTCTTGAATATGAAAACATATTACTCTTTTTTTTTATATCCTCACCTGAGGACATGCTTAGAAAGATAAAGGGTGAGAGGGAGGGGTTGGGGTTGGGGGTGGGGGTGGGGGAGAGAGGGAGAGAGAGAGAGAGAGAGAGAGAGAGAGAGAGAGAGAGAGAGAGAGAGAAAGAGAGAGAGACATCAATGTGTGAGAGAAATATCTATTGGTTGCCTTCCATATGCTCCCTGACTGGGGGTCAAACCCACAACTCAGGTATGTGCCCTGACTGAGAATCAAACCAGCAACCTTTTGGTGCATGGGACGAAACTCAACCAAACTGAGTTTCCCCGACTCTGGCAGGGCAAATATTACTCTTTTACATAGAAACTAAAGATATATATATATATGGTACATATATGTCTTTGGTATTAAATTTTCATGCAGGGATGATTAGGAAAAAATCTAAAAAGGGTCCTTAGTGGGGGGGGGGGCAATAGGAAACAATGGCTGAGAAACACTACGTAAGTAGAGAATAACAATTATGCTCTTTGCTCTAGGACTCAAAGTTATGCATACAGACTTCTCTCCTTATATTCTGTGATGGTTATTGGGGTAAATGGGCGGGTTTGTTCCTCCTTAATGGCCCTGACCCTGAGCCCAGGTGCAGATGCTTTTCTGGGTGGTCATTTTTCTCCCTCACTTTTCTAGGTTATCCAGTCATTCCTCAGTGGGTTGTCTTCTAGCAGTGGCCTGTCAAATTCATAATCTTAATTTTACAGGCAAATATTTAAGTCCATCCTGGTCAGAAAGCAACAACCTACTTCCTTGTTAAATTGTGTGAACAGGTGAGCGGACTGTCTTATGCCTGTTCATGTATTTTCACGAGTCTCTGGTTTGCATGTGTGTTTTTGATGGTTGAGATCACCGAGAAAACCTTAGATCATGTTCCACTGGAACAAGCAGAAAAACTTACGGTGCAAAGTGTTTCGAAGGTCTTTTCAGAGACAAAGGATCCATCAAGGCCAAAGAGAAAGATGGATGCATAGGCGAGCATTCCTCCCAGGATGATGAGGTTGTTCATGTATGGACTCGACATCTTTATCAGCCTGACAAGAGAAGGAGATACTACAGTTACAGGACGGGTAGTGTAGTTATTCCTCCCACAAATATTTCGACTGTGTATACTGCGGCGAAGGCTAGAGGGGGAGAGAAAAATATAAGTCCTGACCTCCTCCACTACCCTCTCCCCAAGACTGTGCCAAATGCTTATCTGACCTGTGTATTAGGGGCTGTTTCCCCCTCACTAAAGGACCCCAGACAGCTATCAACTCCCAGTTGTTGATTTTCCTGCCTCCTTGGTCAAGTTCACCCACCACTTCTCTAGGAACAGCTTGTAGCATCAGCTTCTTCAACCACTAATTTTTAATTTACACAAAAACATTAAGTCAACAGCTTTTTGTGTCTGGGGCTGGGAAGACATGCAAAATCTATAGAATTTTACATTCAGGTTTAGCAACTATCCACAGTGAGAGGGAAGATGGCCCCACCACACTCTCCCCTGTGCTGAGTGGACCAGGTCTAGGAGGTCTACAGGTGAGAACTCAGGTCTGCTCAGGAATTGTGGCCACTGTAGTGAATGAGCATCCACTTTGGCTACCTGAAGCTCACACTATACCTTGCACAAAGAGGGCCACACATCGGGTAGGAACACCTCCCCCACTCACCAGGCAGTGGAGGTGGACAATGGCATCCTTATCTCCACCCTCTAACACTGTCTACCGCAGGCTGCTGTTGGGGGCAGTTTTTATACTCCCAAACTCTACATTCTTCTCTCTCACTTCCTTCAGGGATTCTGCTGTGACTCCCAGCTGCCCAGCAAGCCACGACTTGGTTAAACCATCAGCTGGCTGGAGTTCACCCTCAGAGGTGCCTGGCTCCCCCAGCACAATCCACTCAGAACATCTTGGGTTTTCAGGTGCCCCATGACCCAGGTGTTCTTTTGCAGATTGTAATTATGATCAATTTTTCTCTGAACAGTTTCCTTCAGAATGTGTATTTCTATTAATCCTTCCACATTTAAAAAGTGTAATGTGGTATCAAAGTGGAAGAGAGAGAAAAACCCTGCTGTAAATTGTGGACCATTAACATGGTCTTTCGAGTTGGGAGCACTGGGTCCAGCGCTTGGTCCCTGCTACCCACAGAGGTGCACAGAGGTTGGCAAAGCAATTAGCTGGCTGAATTTCCTCACCTATAAAAGCACAGATCATACTGCCAAGGGCACACGTGAAGCTGAGATGAGATTGGGTTCTTGGGGACCCTTATAAACCAGGAACTGCTAAGGAACCTTCATTCTTATTGTCACAGGAAGCTGGGGAGGGGAGAGGCCAGGAGTTGGGCAGGTTTCTTGGAGGAGGGGACCTTAATTTTGTAGGTAGCATTTAGGAAGACAAAAGTGAGGGGTATCTGGAACTTTAGTGACATTTCCCCCCATACATCTTTGTAGATTTTGAAATCTGCAAAGCCAGTAAAAAAAACAAACAAAAAAACCACACGGATGTCAGCCTATTGGAAAGAATAATGATAATTTTCCCCAGGAGGCTAAGATGGGGTGGTTTAGGAATTAAAAGAGTTTAGTCTTATTTTAGGGGCCACTCACCACTGTGATGGGAATTCTTGAAGCTTGTGGAAAGGGAATCTAATGTTAATTAAGACTTTTGTGCCCAGGCCTTGTGCCAAATGCTCATCATTTAAGGTTTGTATGCAGTGGACAAAAGTTGCTTCAATTTTTGTGTGTGGCAGTGAATGTGTTATTGGTGATAAAGAAAATAAAACAACAGGCGAATAAAATTCCTATTTGTTCTTCAGGAAATAGGTTTGGCCTCAGCAGTAAAAAAACAACAACCTAAACCAACAGCAACAAAAAATCGAGAGCCTGGAGGTTCCTCCTTTACAAACAAAGAAAAGAAAAACAACTGTTCTCCTGGAATTGGGCTTGTTCCTGGCAGCCCTGGAGGTCATGCATCGTGGCTTCTGGGCTTAATAGCAGAGATGCTGCCCATGGGTGGGCACTGGGCCTGTGACTGAGAAGGTCCTGCTCTGAGTCCTTGCTCACCCTCTTCCACAACAAGGCCGGGGGCTGGAAACCAAAGAAGCTGCCTGTGCTTGGTAAACACTACCATCTGGGATGGTGACCTGTTCTACCCACCGCTGACCAGAATAACTCAGAAAGCGAGCTGCTCTCCCCTGGAGAGTGAAGGGCATGTGAGAGGGGACAGAAATCAAGGGGATGGATTCTGCTGCGTGCAGCAGTGTGGCCTTGGACAGTGGCCCTTGCCGCTGAGCTTCTGTGCTCACATCTGTAATCTGGGGAGGGGCTTCCTGGACTGCAGTGTGCTGCAACCAATGAAGTGCCAGGCCTTGTACTTAGTGAACCCCCTAGACCAGGGGTGGGCAAACTTTTTGACTCTAGGGCCACAATGGGTTCTTAAACTGGACCGGAGGGCTGGAACAAAAGCATGGATGGAGTGTTTGTGTGAACTAATATAAATTCAAAGTAAACATCATTACATAAAAGGGTACGGTCATTTTTTTTTTTTTTTAGTTTTATTCATTTTAAACGGGCCGAATCCGGCCTGCGGGCCGTAGTTTGCCCACGGCTGCCCTAGACAGTGCTTCCCCAAGATGCTGGGGGTGGGGCAAAGACACTGGGGAATGCTGTCTTCTAGATTTCTCCTCCTGGGCCAGCACAAACTGCATGAGCACAGACAAAGCTCTGAGAAGGCCTATGGACCTAGATCCTTCAGTTTTATTTAAGCCCGCCTTCCCCAAACTTATCTGACCGAGGCTCCTGTGTAACGAGTAGCCCCATGTATGTATGTGTGTGTGTGTGTGTGTGTGTGTGTGTGCATGTGGGAGTGTACACACATGGTCATGAAACATTGAATAACATCGCAGTGAATGAGAAGCACACTTTAGAAAATCGCCCTACAATCTTCTGTAGCCCTGGAGAATCCGTCGTGCAATGCTCGCATACTTTGTCAATGAGGTTTATTGATCCAGAAAGTACAATCCAAGAGGAAAGTGTGAGCGACTTACTTCTGATTCCGGTTCTTGATGTTGAAAAAGAGAAAAGCGCTGGCCATGATCATCCCCAGGATGGTGAGGGCAGAGAGGATGCTGTAGAGAGGTAGGGAGATCTTCCGGAGCTGCTCTAGGATGATGGTCTTGTCTTTTGGGGGTTCGGATCCTAGAAGGCCAAGGAAAAGACATCACCTGAGCCCAGTGCAGTCAGTGCCTGAGGGCATCTCTGCCTGGATGTTCCTGACATTTGCCACCGGTGCACAAACTCTGTGCAGGACACATCTCCTGGGTGAGCGGGCTCTGGTGGCTGGCCAGCCTGCCTAGCAGGGAGCCTTAGTCAGGACTTATTTCTTTCTCTAAACAGAATCAATAAGGAATTTGTGATGCATTTAATAGCCATTAGAAGACTGGAATTTGGTTTGGTCTAATTACCCTGTTGAAAAACTGTTGCCATTTATTCCCAAAGGTAACAGTGGCTCGGAAGGTGCAGGGCTGGGTGTTGTGAGTGAGTACCACTGGGTGTCACTGAGAGTGAGGACCTAGGCTTTGGCTTTCAAGGGCTATGTGCCAGCACATGATAATGACTGTCCCTCAACAGGGTGGACGCCTTGCCTGTCAATTCCACAGAGATGCATATGTGCTCTGGCTGTGGATTTTCTCCTTCAAGGTCATTATGTTATAAAAGCTCTTTCTGATTTTCCATTTTCATAGGACTCGCTAACTGTGGGAGGCAGAAGCTGCCTGCATGCCTTCCCCTCCCTGTTGTGCCAGGACTGGACAGAAACTGTGGGACTCCATATCTCTGTGTGACTGCGAACTGTCCTTGCTCATTCTTCAAGGGCACAGGAACCCGGGGGAGCCCCAAGGGAGGCTGAGCAGACTCATCTTTATAGAAGGTGGCACAATGGTCCCGTTTTAGTTTTACCAGGTACAGGGAGGCTGGGGAGGACAAATGCAGGGACACCCCACCCCACCCCACCCCACTTCTTGCCAATCCTCTTTCTCAGCTGCTGTTTCAGGTCAGGTTTCTGCTGTAGGACTGTGAAATGTTGGGGCTTTTCACTCCAGAGAAATGTGTGGAATCAGCCAGGTGCCTGGGAGTGGCTGAAGCTGGGGGACCCACCAGGGGTCACAATGAGTCCCCCCCACCTCATGGCAGTGCCATGGGTGCCAGCCTACATTATGCCTCCCTTCTCAGGAGACAAACAGGATGAACAGATATTGCTTTAAGGGTTGAGGGCTCCCCTGAACATCTGTGTTTCAAAAATTCTGATAGCAAGTTGAAATGTGTTTGGAAACATTCAGTGGATAAGAGGTCTTTGAACATGTAAACAGCCTACGGAAGCTGCCAGGTTGGAAAGCAGCTAGGAACTTGCTGGCTTGGTTAATGTAAAGTGTTAAGCAATTCCAAGTAAACAGACTTTTGTAAGGATTGGCTCCAAGGACTAAAAGTCAGGGCAAAAGCAGACACAGGTGACGGAGGTAGCAACATTTGTTGCTTCCAGTGAAAACTCAACATCTGGAAACTTCCTCCCCCTTCCTATTTACTTCCCCTCTCCCCCCACCTGTACCCTGGGCTGCATTAGGCTGGCTCAGGTGACTTCTGGCTCCCTAATACAAGAACCATCTTAGGAATGCCCATGAGTTCTTGGCTGGAAACAAGCCACTCTCTGGGCACTGAGAAAGGGTTACATGATGACTATGACCACAAGCTGTTCATGTAGAAACAACTTCAGAAAATGACAACAGCTCCTCCTCCTTACTCTACCCTCCCTTCCCCGAAATGGCACCTCCCCACCTATGCATCTTAACTGAGACATTATGGAAGCCAAACGGTAACAACTTGTTAGAAGTGTTACTAACAGCAGCAGCCCTGAATTTTCTTTCTTGCTACTCATCTGGTCCATCCATTCATTATTCATCTATTTTTCATTATTTCTTCATTCATCACTATTCCTTCACTCATCATCATTAATGATGGTCAACATCATTAATAATCACCTTCCATCTATCAGGCCCAGTGCTGGGTACCAGCGATTCAAAGATAAAGAAGATGAAGTCCCTGTCCTCAAGGAACTTACACATTACATATATAAGGAGAAAAGGCAACCATAAGCAGTAATATTTACCGAATGCTTACCGTGGGCTAAGCACTTTATAGAGATTTTTTTATACGATCCACCCAACAATCTCATGAGTAGAAAAGATTATTCCCATTTTGGTGGGTGGAGTGGGGGTCGGCAATAGGTTTTAGGTGTTAAGTAGCTTTTACAGCTAGTAAATGGCAAATCTGGCAGAATTTGACCCCATATCTGCCTAACTCTGAAGACGGTGCTCTCACACTATGTAAACTGCCTCCAATCGCCTGAGCAGGAAGCAGGAAGCAGAGTGCAGTTCTGCCTGATGAGTCAGGAAAGGCTACAGAAAGGAAGATGAGTAGTTAGCTTTCACCAGGAAGACAAGGAAGAAAGGGCATTTTGGGCAGAGAACCTGGCAGAGGCAAAGACATGGTGACATATGGCATGTTTGAGGAACTGTAAGCAGTTTGGTTGGGGAGATCTGACAGAGAAGGCAGAGAAGTGAGGAGGTGTCCTTTCATGGATGTCTTGGGGGCAACACCATGGAATAAGGCCCCTTGTTGTGCGCAACGGACACCATGAAATGCTCTGAGCAGAAGTGGGGCATCTTCAGCATGGCATGATGGCAAAAGCACTTTGGCTGTTAAGGGCAAAATGGACTTGAAGGGGTTAAGACTGGTTAAGCCCGCCCATCCGCCCATCCATCCATCCCTCCATCCCTCCCTCCATCCCTCCATCCACTCATTCATTCATCCACCCACTAGTTCAGTGACTCACATGTTCACCTGTTCACTTATTTATTCACTCATCCACTCACTTGGTCAATCATGTATTAATAAAATATCATTGACTCTTTGACACGTGCCAGATTATGGCTGGTGCCAGGAATTTAAAGCCAAATAGGAACCAGTCAGGGGGCTCATGGTCCAACAATCTAGATATTTCAATACAAAGTGACAGTGGCCATGGTAAAGGCAGAGAAAAAAAACTGTGAAAGCCAAAAGAAGGGAGCCATTAGCCTGGTTGGGGGCAATCAGGGAAGGCTGCACAGAAGAGGTGTTATTTGATCTCGTTCTGGAAGCTGAGGAGAAGTTCTACAGCAGGAGAAAAGAGGGAATGGTCTTCCAGGAAGAGCAGCATGTAGAGAGACCCTATTATCAACCAAACCAAGTCCTTTCCCAGAGGAAAAGACAGAGCTAGATTTAGCTGGGCCACATTTAAAAAGAATTACTCCTGGCCATCCTCTGGTTTAAACAGATGCTTCGGTGAAAGCCAGTGTTCATACAAATTCCAGTGACCCATTCCAGGAGCTGGAATACAGCTCCTATGTGAGTGACGGGACCTTGTGCTCAGTGAGTGAGTGTGCGTGTTGACAGGAGAGGATGTTCCCTCTTCCCTACAAGGCCAAAGGCTCTGAGATTTTCCCCCAACCCTCAGATAACATCCAGGCTTGGGACTGAGCAGGCCCCCTCCTCCAAGAAGCCCACCTGCCTTACCTTGGAACCTAATGGTGTCGTTGATGATCTCCAGTGTGTCAGCCACAGCGTTGTATTCTCCCACCTTCACCTCCCTGCGGTCTGTGGGGAGCAACAGAGAGTGGCTGGTTAGATCCGAGTCCTGTGTTTGGGTCTGAGTGTTCCTCTCCTAGCTCTTGCTCTCCCCACAGCCCCTGGCTATATTCTTGCAGGCTTTTCCTTTCCCCAGGTAGAATCACAAAACTTCCAACCGGATCTGGGCTAGAACAAACACCCTCTCACACTCTCTCGTCAACTGTCCTTCGCTGTACATGTGTAGAAGGGGGACTCACTCCCCTTTAACTGGATTCTCTGCCTGTTACCAAGTCCTTCCTGGTCATTGAGCTGAATGTTCTCTCTGTAACTTTTCCCTGTCATCTGACTCTGCCCTCTGGGACCACGCAGATTACCCCTACTCCCTCTGCCCAGGCAGGCCTAGAGCTTGAAGACAAAGACAGAACACCCCACGACACTCTTCCCCCACTCCACCTTACTAAATGTCATTCTATTTCCCACCTTACCCAGGCCCCTCCTGAGGCCACACTCCACAATATCACTGTCTGTCTGTCTGTCTGTCTGTCTGAGAGTGCAGACACAAGGACTGACCAACACACGTTAGGCATGATTTGGTCAGCAGCAAGTAGAGGGGACCATCCCCTCCTTCATTCTGCACATTATATATCAATTGATATATTCTGAGGTAGAATTAGCATCTTTTGGAGGATGCATTGCTCTGCTGTGTGATACTGAGCACAGTGTTCTCCGTATGCACTTGCCCAGGTGTATTTTCAGACCTAAGTGGTGCATTTGAATTTTCCTTCATCCTAGATACTATTCTGTTGTTGGGTTTAGGTCAGTGATATTCAATTGGTGTGCCGCAAGAATTTTTAAAACATGCAATGCCTGACTATTTAGTCAGGGACACTGACCTCTTTTCCCTTAGATTGTCAAATAAAAAAATGACAACAGCCAAACACAACAGTAGCTGTTCAGGGTGAATGAATCAAAATTATTCTGATTTTTTTGTCAGATAAGCAAAAAATATATATATATATTTTTGGTGTGCTGCAGATTTTTAGTAAGTAGTTTATGTGTGCCATGAGGTGAAAAGGTTGAAAATTGCTGGTTTAGGGCAATTGCCAGGGATAATTACAAAGACAACTAGACCAGGGCGACTGGGCAGGAGGAATGGAGAGTAGTAATTAGATTTGACAAAGGTTTCCTTTTTCCCAGGTAAAATCTGGACAATTGGGAGATTAATTGTTGGGGAAGATGGGGAACAGGGCAGTGAACCAAGTGACTGGGCGGGGGGCCCGGCGGGGGGGGGGGGGGTGGGGGGGGCTCCGGTGCCATTCCCTAAGTGGGGAACCCATGAGGATAAAAGATGTTATGTTCCTGTTTGAATGTGCTCAGCCTGAGACACCTATCAGGGGGAGATCCTTGCTCTGGAGGGGGGAGAAGTCTGGGCTGGGGAGAAGGAGTTGGGGTCACCAGCATGCAGGCTGGGAGGTAGAGCAGTGGGCAGGAAGGACACCCCGAGGGCAGTGCTGAGTGAGAAGTGAAGGGACCAAGGACACAATCCTGGATAGCGCCAATCTCTGGGGGGCAGGCAGAGCAAGGACACTGCAAGGAGATTGGGAAGAAGTGGCCAGGATGCCAGGAGCAGGATGCCAGGAAAGAGTGGGCATTGTAGGAGCCAAGGAAAATGACAATTTCACCATGGAGCTGGCCAGCAATGTCACATGCTACCGAGAGCCTGGGCCAACAAGCCCCTTGACAGGGGGTGAGTGGATCTGGCGTGTCTGTGGTGACCACAGATAAAACAGATGCAGAGAAAGGTGGGGTTAGAGGCAGAGAACCAAAGGGAACCAGTGTGGGAGTAAAGAAAGGAGCCCCCAGGGCAGAGCAGACTTTGACAGAGTTCAGGAGTGGGCAGGCAGGGGCTGAGGTGCCCCACAGTGTGCCTGGATCGATGCTAGGAATTTTATGTGCCATCTTTTCAGTTCTCACAATTGAATGGACTAGGTCAGTGGTCGGCAAACTCATTAGTCAACAGAGCCAAATATCAACAGTACAACGAGTGAAATTTCTTTTGAGAGCCAAATTTTTTAAACCTAAACTATATAGGTAGGTACATTGTTATTAACTTAATTAGGGTACTCCTAAGGCTTAGGAAGAGCCACACTCAAGGGGCCAAAGAGCCGCATGTGGCTCGCGAGACACAGTTTGCCGACCATGGGACTAGGTGGTTTTCAGTTCCACTTTGTAGATGAGGAAACCGAGGCTTGGGCAGGCTGTAGCTTTGCCCAGAGTCCCACTGATACCAAGAACACAGGATCCCTGAGAGGTGACAGTTCCATGTCAAGCTGACCACCCATCAGCCACCTGTGCCTCCTGAGTATATTAACTGCATAGAGGAATGCCCACCCTCCGGCAGGCGGGTCCCTGGAGCTGCAGGCCCGCAAGTCCCCAGAGGAACTGCCTGATGTGGCTCTGGCTGTAAGTGAATTTCTTTGCATAAACGCAGGTGCACTGCTGGTTCCTTAAACACATTTAGAAAATGAAACGGAATCGCATAGACCTGCCATGCTTCTGCCTGCGTTCCTTTGACCGTGAGGTGGAAAACAGGACTATAAAAGTCACTTCCTTCTCCCACAAAGGTCTCCGCACCATCTGGGGGGCTTCACAGCGTGCAGGCAGCTGTGGCATACCTGGGTCACCCAGCTCCTAAATGTCACATTAGCAGACTCTGCTGGGAGCTCCAGCATCCTTGCTTAGGCCTTTTGAAGTCTCAGCCCCAGGCTGCTCCTGCCCCTCAGAAAAGGAGGCCCTGATTTATTTATTTGGCGTGGGGAGGCAGCGCATGAAATATGCAGGCTGATCGGAATAAATCATTAGGAGCTGGGAAGTGTATGGCTGGCCGCCCTCCAGGCCCCCAGCCACACAGCCCACCCTTCTGACTCCTAGGCCCCGCTCTATGCCCCATGGCACCAAAATCATACTCAGCCTCCCACCAAGACCAAAATCACATAATCTCTCCCTGGAGCAGTGCTTGGAGGCTCACAGGCACTTCACACGTTCTTGCATTTAACGCTCACAGCAAACCATGAGTTGGGCATAACTCACCCCAGTGTATACTTGAGGGAGGGGCCTCAGATAGGTTAAGTGCATGCCTGGACTTGGGTCCCCCAGTTCTGACTTCAGAGCGCTTTCACCACCCATACTGAGCAGGGCTTCTGATCATTCAGCCACATTTATTGAGTGCCCACTGCACGCCAGGCCCAGCCCAAGGTATTTCATGATAAAGAACCCCTCAAAAACAGCAGTGTAGGTGGTAGAAGACTAGGTTATTTCCTCATCCTCAACCAAGGTGGCCTTGGACATGTGTGCTGGAGCTGGAGATACAAAGATGAAGAAAAAATTCATAATCGCTGACCTTGGAGTTTAGTGACTGCAGCCTCTCTCAGCCCTAGCAGGGAGGTAAAAATCATTCCCATTTGCAGGCAGCACTTCCCTTCCAGCTCATACCCTATAAGCAGGTGGTTATAAATGTAAAAGGGGAACTTTCAGAGTGGCCATGAGAATTAGAGAGGAGAATACAGGCAATTTCTGGCTTGGGACCTAACTCATAGTGAGTGTTCCATAAATTATAGTTATTTGAGTCATGATAAAAGTGACTGTGAGCCGTTTGCTAGGTCCCCAAACACTCCCTCTGTTTACTTACTGCCACTAGTTCCCCACAACAGTCCCTCTGCTTGGAAGGGAGCTTTCCCCTCCCTCTACAAAACCAAACGTCCAAACTTTGTCCACCTCTTCCGGGAAGCATTCCCAGCGTACTGACCCTCCCCTCCCAGCAACCTGTTTGCTGTGAGCTCAGCCCCTCGTGTTGGAGCAATGCCCCAGGTGTGCCCAGGCCTTCTGATTTCTGTCTGCTGATTGGTTCCTGAGCAGAACCCGAAGTCTGGCTTCTGACATCCTGGGCAGCATAGAGTCTTGTCCCCCACACCCTGCCCAGGGCCCCTCAGGGGTCTGAAGGTGGAAGGAGGGTGCCCCCTGTGTTCTTCCATTCACCACGGCCCAGGTGGTGGTCACTATGATAGGCACCCGGCACTTTCAACTTTTAAGTCTTGGGCTGCTTGGTAACTCCACTGTGCAAACAAGGCTGACCACTCATTGAGACACAGACGAGCCTTGCAGACCGAGGACAGGGGATCTGTGGACAGATAGAAAGGTCCACTGGGGCCGGGAGGTTGGGGTATCGAGCAGAGGGAGAGGGGCTGTGACACTGGGTCTGTTACTGGCTGGCCGTCTGCCCCACAAACTCTGTGCAGGTTGCCACTGACTCACTGTGTGACCCTGGACCATTCCCTTCCTCTGGGCCTCAGTTTCTCCATTTGCACACTGCACTGTAGGAATTCCAGTGGTTCTCAGCCCTAGGGATTAGGGTCACCTGGAGAACTAGAAAATACCTATGATTGGTCCCAGCTTGGACCTATTATATTAAAACTTCTTAGGATGGATCCTGAGTAGCAGTATTTTTAAAGGTCCTCTAGCCTGGCCAGAGTTGCTCAGTGGCTGAGCATTGACCTATGAACCAAGAGGTCACTGCGTGGTTCCTGGTCAGGGCACATGCCTGGGTTTCAGGCTCAAGCCCCAGTGGGGGTGGTGCCAGGAGGCAGTCGATCCATGTTTCTCTCTTATCGATATCGATGTTTCTACCTCTCTGTCCCTCTCCTTTCCTCTCTCTCTCTAAATTCAATGAAAACATTAAAAAAAAAAAAAGTCTTCTAAGTGGGTCCTGATGCATAGCCAGAGTTGAGAACCACTGGATTACACTGAGGGCCCTTCAAGCTGACACTTTCTGTTCTCAGAGGCTAAAAATACTGTGAGACAAAAAGCTCCCTTTCCCACAGAATAGTACTGGTTCCTTGCTGTGGGGCAAGAAAGGAGTGTTCTCTTTTAAAAAGTGCATTCTTTATTTCAAATTTTGGAGTTGGATGATAGCTCCCATTCTTAAAAATCAGACTTCCCCCCAAAAAGTCCAGTCTGAAAATACTCACTGG